CTTCCCCAGACTTTTCTGTTTGGTAGATACAACTTCAGATTCATTTTCTCCCTTTCTATTTATGAATATGTACTCTGTACTGGGTTGGCACTATAATAATTTAAAAGTGAAGGAGGATAAAGAAGCATAGTTCTTCCTTGAAAGTAAATAAATCTTTGGCCAAGCGTAGTGGCTCATGCCTATAATCCCAGCACTTTGGGAGACCAAGGTGGGCAGATCACTTGAGGCCAGGAGTTTGAAACCATCCTGGCCAATTTGGCGAAACCCCATCTGTACTAAAAATACAAAAACTAGCTGTGCATGGTGGTGTGCACCTGTGGTCCCAGCTATTTGAGAGGCTGAGGCACGAGAACTGCTTGAACCTGGGAGGCAGAGGTTGCAGTGAGCCAAGATTGTGCCCCTGTACTCCAGCCTGGATGACAGAATGAGACCTTGTCTCAAATAAATAAATAAAAAGTAAATTTTAAAATGTTGCTCCGAACCCTTTGTTTCCCCCTTTTTTCTTTTCTTTTGGAGTTGATTAGCTAAATTTGTTGCTCTATACCTCTGATAGAATGAAGACTGTGATAAGTTAGATTCCTCAATCCTCTCATTTTCTTTGTTTGAATTACTATTTGAAAAGTACAGACTGTTTTGGTTACTCAGCTAAGCATAAATTCATCTCTACTACTGGAAGAGTACATTATTATCTGACCTTATATAACTACTATCATCTTTAGATAGGAAGGACAGAACAGTTTATAAAAAGAAGCTATATGTTGTCATTTATGAAATTATGGCAGGCAGATAAACTAGATAGTTGAATTTTTCTTGTCTTTAGCCTGATAGTTTCCAGGCAAAACACTGTTTTCCAATGTTACATGTTCCAGTAGGTTTCCAATGACCTAGGTAGATCATATTTCTCTCACCTTTTTCAGTAAGATTGTCATCTACATTTGTAATGCAGTTATTTATTTGTCACAGTCTGCATGCATACCATCCTGCAATCCCTCAGCCTCCTGGTTTTTTTATGGTATCTTTTATCGTACAGAAGTTTCAGATTGTTTGTAATTATATCTATTTTCTCCTTTATGGCTTTTGGATTTATGTCATGCTTAATAAGGATTTACCCACCTCAAGGTTTTATTTTTGTTTTTGCTTCAAATGCTTTAATGTATTTTTTGTTTTAAATTTAGAAAATTTTTTTTAAATTTGTCTTTGTTTCTTTATTTTCTCCTTTTTGGTACATATGAAAATTAAAAGAACATTGAATAGAATACATTTTGACACACCATAAGCAAGGAACCAAGAATGTTTGGTTTCATTTATTTTTTGGTTGTATATTCTCATGAGGAATAGATGGCCACAAGAAATTTTATGGGGCTTGCATTTATTATTTGCCTTGTCTGAAATATTCAATCTAATATTAAATATCTATGGTTCCACCTGATATGTTTGCTTCAAATTATCTAGGAGAGCTTCTGCCTTCTTCTGTTAGCTTGAAGTAATTTTAAATATTTACAATTTGAATGGCTAAGCATATTAGATATGTTTCTACTACAACCAGTTCTAACCAGAGAGCTCTAAAATCAAATTCTTTGTAACATGGAAACAGAAAAATCCATTAGTATTAACCATTGATCTTTCAGTTGTGGATTCTTACACTGATTCAGTGGAAGTGTCTTCTCCCCAGAAGGAAATAGAAAATGTGAAATATGAAAAAAAAAATAGGCTGAACAATATTTTCTAAATTACTGGTAACCTGATAAGAATTCATACTAAATTTTGACAGTAAACTTCAGTATAAAGCCATTTTTGTTAAATAAACGAGTACATATTTAGATTGCCATCTTTACTGTTTGTTTAAATATAATTTGCCTATTACAGTATAAAACTGACTAGTTTGTTTCCAAGCTTGGATACTTAATCCTAGTAAACATTCTATCTACCTTGAGTAAAAATTCTGGTAAACAGTTTCCTTTGAATCAGAAGAAACTTTTTTCATTAAAAAGAAGTGCTCCATTTAAAAAACAAATTTCATCTCTAGCCCTAAAATATAACAAGGATTAATTAAATAAATCTAAACAAACAAAGTTAAATAGTTATCCTGTAATAGTTAATAGTCTGCTGTTTGAGTAGCTAAATGATTTTAAAAACAGATCAGTACATTGATACCTTTGTGTATTTATTTTTGCAGGTGAAAAAAGCCAAGATGCAGGAATCAGGAGAGCAAACCATAAGGTGTGTACAGTTCACTTTCTTTTTAATGAACTACTCATAGGTTGGTTTTTTGTTGTTTTTTTTTTTTTCCTTTTCACATGCTGATTAGTGTATGGGCATGCTTTGCCCTCTTTTGGTTCTTACTCTCAGCTGTTTAATTTGGAAATTATTTGGTTTAGGATTAAAATTTCTTTCCCAAATAGTTTTTTCGTGAAACACCTGCAATGATTTTTCCTTATGCATTCAATATTTATTCAACAATATGAACCAAACTCATGTTGTATATCAGGCGTTGTACTATATAGAGGAGACTCAGTGATAAAGATGAAAAGCACCATATTCTTCAGTCAGATGTACAATATACAGAATAGGAAGCATAAGTGAAAAAAGGAAATTCCAAGGGATTTGGTATTAATTACCAAATCGTTATGAAGTGACTTAGTCATTAACCCCCCTCCTCTTATAGAAAAGAGGCAGCTTGTTTTCACCTCACATTTTGGTTTCCACATACCATGGTTTTCAGTTTTCTACAGTTCTTGCCTTCTGTTGTTTGTGCGCCAACCATATGAGCCAGAAACTGCATCATCTCTACCACATTAATTTCAAGAACCCTACACTTTTACCTCCACACACTATCATCTCAGCTTATTCTAGAACTGCCATGTTAGCCATATGATGTCTTAAACCATCAATTAAATGATCTGTCATATTTTCACCATCACCCCTTTAAAAAGAACTTTAGTTTCTTCCTTATAAGAAACTTGGCCAGGTGCAGTGGCTTATGCCTATAATCCCAGCACTTTGGGAGGCCAACGTGGGCATATCACTTGAGGCCAGGAGTTCGAGACCAGCCTGGCCAACATGGCAGAACCTCATCTCTACTAAAAATACAAAAATTAGCTGGGTGTGGTGGCCCAAGCCTATAATCCCAGCTACCTGGGGGACTGAGGCAAGAGAATGGCTTAAACCCATGAGGTGGAGTTACAGTGAGCCAAGAATGCACCACTGCGCTCCACCCTGGGTGACAGAGAAAGACTCTGTCTCTCAAAAAAAGAAAAGAAAAGAAAAAAGTAAAGAAACTTCCAGGTGTGGTGGCTCTACTTTTGGAGGTCCAGGTGGGCAGATCACTTGAGTTCAGTAGTTTGAGACCAGCCTGGGAACCATAGCAAGACCCCATCTCTACAAAAATCACAAAAAAATTATCCAGGGATGATGGTACACACCTTTAGTCCCAGCTACTCAGGGGGTTGAGGGAGGAGGATTGCTTGAGCCCAGGGGCCAGAGGTTGTAGTGAGCCAAGATTGCGCCACTGGACTCCATCCTGTGTCGGTGGCAGAGGAAGACCCTGTCTCATAAGAAACAGGAATGGAGGGAGGGAGGGAGAAACTTAACTATAAGATTTACTGTAATTAGGAAGGAGAGAGGGAGGGAGGGAATAAGGAAGGAAAGGGAAGGGAAGGAAGGGGAGGGGAGGGGAGGGGAAAGGGAAAGGAGAGAAACTTAATTATAAGATCTACTGTAATTAGTCCCTTACAAACATTCTTAACTTCCTCACTTTTTTTCTGTCCTACTTGCCTAGCAAAACTACAAGCCTGATTAAACCTAGCTATCTAACCTATTCTGTATTTACTCCCAATCACTCATACATTGTGAGAGAAAAACACAAAACTGTGCTGACTGTTCTTAGTTTCTATTCATGATTAGATCTAAAACAGGCACTTAAACCCCCTTCCTGGTATGTCTGATTGCCCAGCCTCTAAAATCATCTTAATTCCTTTATTCCTTTCCTGCTGCCCTGACCCCCACCTTCTCTCTTTTCCCTCTCTTTCCTACTATTGCCATTCACTCAGCTGTGGATCTTGCTCCCTAGTTCAAAGAGAGATTACGAACACCTCCTTTCTCTTTCACCAAATCTACCTACTTAATCTGCTTCCCTTGGATATTGTTTCTCTTTCCTCTGAAATTAATTCCCCTGCTCTTACCTAAGGCTAACCTCTCTAGTTGTTCGAAAGAACGCATCACTTTCATCTTTTCCTGCAATTTCCTTTACCTTCAGCAGTTTTTTTACTATGCTAAAATACACACAATATACAATTTACCATTTTTTGTTTGTTTTTTGAGATGGAGTCGACCTCTGTTGTCCAGGCTGGAATGCAGCGGCACAATCTTGGCTCACTGCAACCTCTGCCTCCCAGGTTCAAGCAATTCTTCTGCCTCACCCTCCTGAGTAGCTGGGACTACAGGCGTGTGCCACCACGTCCAGCTAATTTTTGTTTTATTAGTAGAGATGGGGTTTCACCATATTGGCCAGGCTGTTCTTGAACTCCTGACCTTGTAATCTGCCCTCCTCAGCCTCCAAAGTGCTGGAATTACAGGGGTGAACCACCGTGCCCAGCCTACAATTTACCATTTTAAGTGTACAGTTCAGTGGCATTAAGTACAATCACTTTGTCTTGCAACCATCACTACCATTCATCTCTATAACTTTATTCATCTTCCCAAACTGAAATTCCATATCCACTAAGCAATATTCTCCATTCCTCCATCTCCAAAAACTCCTGGCAACCGCCATTCTACTTTCTGTCCATATGATTGTGACTACTCTAAGTACCTCACAGAAATGGAATCACACAGTATTTGTCTTTTTGTGACTCACCATGATATCTTTAAGGTTCATCCATTTGTAGCATGTGTCAGAATTTCCTTTCTTTTTAAGCCTCAGTAATATTCCATTGTATGTTTGTTCCACATTTTGTTTATCCATTCATCTGTTGTTTGTGTTGTTAATAGTGCTGTTGAATGAGAAGGTATTTGTCATGCTCACTTTATGGACTTGGATGTTTTTGGATTTTTGGGGTCACTTCATTTTAGAGCATTTTTTTTTCATGATGTATTTGTTGTTAAGCAACGAATTTACATTTGTATAACTCTGAAAATAATTATATTTTGAGACAGTGTGCCATTTCTCTAGGGATAATAATTTTTTTTTTTTTTTTTTTGAGATGGAGTCTTGCTCTATCGCCCAGGCTGGAGTGCAGTGGCACAATCTCAGCTCTTTGCAACCTCTGCCTCCTGGGTTCAAGTGATTCTCCTGCTTCAGCCTCCCAAATACCTGGGACCACAGGTGCCTGCCACCATGCCCAGCTAATTTTTGTATTTTTAGTAGAGACAGGGTTTCGCCATGTTAGCCAGGATGGTCTCCATCTCCTGACCTTGTGATCCACCTGCCTGGGCCTCCCAAAGTGCTGGGATTACAGGCATGAGCCATCGCACCTGGCCAAGATAATGCTTACAAATATTTAACAAGTGCTAGAGTTAATTCACTGTCTTGGTGCTGTTGTTTCTGTTTATTCTCTAGATGGTCAGTTGAGTGTATAGAGGATGTTGCTATAACATAAGATTCTAGGACCATTGGATTTTAGGAATACACTGGACCATAGTAATATCATCAACTTCTAGGATACAGGATCTAGAAATAGTCTTCAACAGTGGGTATATCAGTGAACCCCAGACTTATTCATGTACATGTAGAAGTCAAACTAGTTATTGATATCAGAAATGTGAAGTTCTGTTCCAGTTTTATACCCTTCCCCTGGGAATTCTATGTAAGTGAGTGGTGAGATGGGGTCCAGAAGTCTGTATTTTCATTAACTATTCAGGTAATTATAATAAATCACCCAGTTTGAAAAACTGACACAGCTATTTCATACAATTTCTTGCTCTTACCCTTCCATTTCCATGATCACATCTTAGTACATTAAGTTCTATTTCAAAAATATGAACATTTGAGTAACAAGATAAAAATGAACCTTACTTGGGGATTTAGCTTTAACATTAATTACATATGAGGAGAAATTGTTTGGACATTCAACATATACCATTAAAACTGGGCACTGTGGCTCATGCCTGTAATTCCAGCACTTTGGGATGCTGAGGCAGGCGGATTGCTTGAGCCCAGGAGTTTGAGACCAGCCTGGGCAACATGGTGAAACCCTATTTCTACAAAAATTAGCTGGGCGTGGTGGCACACACCTGTAGTACCAGGTACTCAGGAAGATGAGGTAGGAATATCACTTAAGGCCAGGAAGTCAAATCTGCAGTGAGCCATGATCGAGCCACTGCATTCCTGGATGACAGAGTGAGACCCTGTCTTAAAAAAACACAAAAACAAAAACTGACCAAACAAAAATATATGCCACTAAAAAAAACCCCTTATTATAGTTGAATGGTTGAATTGAATATTAGAAGTCAGTTTCAGAAATGATATGAAAACTTTATAAATTTTGGTGCTATATATTTTTTATACAAGCAACATTTTTTTAAAAAATGTTGCTGTGAAGAAACTATTCTTACCTTTGATTAGTCAGCAGATATATAGGGCCTCTGATACAGTGTCCTCCATTTCTCCCTAGAGTGTAGAACAAAGCAGGTTTCTTTCTAAGGTGGATAAATGTAGGAAGGATGCCTGGGCTCTGAAGAAGTTGTAGTATAATAACAGTTACAGTTAAAGTGTGCTTACTATGTTCTAGCTTTGCTCTAAATATTAACTTATTAGTCCTCATAATAACCCTATGAAGTATGTTTCATTTTTATTCTCATTGACAGATGTAGAAAGGGGGGAACAGATAAATTCAGTCATAGAGCTAGTTATTGGCACAATAGAATGTGAACTTGAGCAGTCTGACTCTAGAATCAGCACCCCTAACCACTGTGCTATAATGGGAGAGAATAACTGAAGAATGAAAAGTAAAGTAGATGGAAAAGGGAGAACATTGTGAAGAATGAAAGTTAGAACAATCCTCATTCCAGAATTTCTGCGGTGTCTCCCCAGCATTAAACTATCTAACATAATGACTTGTCCTTCTAGTTTATCTGACTTATCATTTGTAATTTCTCCCTATTTTCCTTATAAGTTAAAAAAAAATGATGTTGCTTAGTCCTGGGTATAATAACAAATAGGAAATGAGGTGTTTGGGTTTTTTTTTTTTAACTGGGAGAGAAGGGAAATATAGTAAAATGAATCATCTTAAGGGTTTAGAAACCTCTACTTGGAAACAAACATGTAATTTGTTTTTGTTTTTGTTTTTTTATATAATTCTTTATTTAAAAAAAAAGACGGGGTTTCACCTTGTTGGTCAGGCTGGTCTTGAACTCCCGACCTCAGGTGATCTGACCGCCTTATCCTCCAAAGTGCTTGGATTACAGACGTGAGCCACCATGCCCAGTCTAATTTGTTTTTTTGTTTTGTTTTTGAGGCAGAGTCTCGCTGTGTTGCCTCTGCTGAAATGCAGTAGCACAATCCTGGCTTACTGCAACTTCTACCTCCCGGGTTTAAGCGATTCTCAGGCCTCAGACTCCTTAGTAGCTGGGACTACAGGCGCGTACCACAACTCCTGGCTAATTTTTGTATTTTTAGTAGAGATAGGGTTTAACCATTTTGGCCAGGCTGGTCTCAAACTTCTGACCTCAAGTGATCCACCCGTCTCAGCTTCTCAAAGTGCTGGGATTACAGGAATGAGCCACTGCGCCCTGCCCAAACGTGTAATTTGAAAACACATCTCTTCTAAGCCCCTGACCACACAGAAGGCCAAAAGAAAAAAAAAAAAAAAAAAAGAAGGACAAAAGAAAACACATCTCATATAATTATGATTTGTAGCTGATCGAGAACCACTATATGAAAAAGATGTTTCCCTACCTTCCTGTGGTACTTTGGGAACAAGGTAACAGAGCGCTGTTGTACACAATGGTGACTATAATAAATAAATAGCATTGTATATTTCAAAATTACTGAAAACATAGAATTTAAGTGTTTTCACATACTTTTTTCACAAAAAAATGAAAAGTGTTTCATATATCGAAACATCACATTGTACCCTATAAACATATAATATATACAATTTTTTAAAAGTGACAGAGTAATGTTTTAGATGTTGTGTAATTTTTCTTTTACCATATGGTGTTAAAGAAAAATCTGACTTGCTGGGCAGTGACTTAGTTAGAATTTCTGAGTGATATAAAAACTAAAGGGATCTAGAGATCTAAGAACAGTAGAATGCTGAGGGTACTAGCCCTGGCCCTAGCTTTCCTCAAGTAGTTAAAAACCAACAATAAGGATATCATGAAGATTTACCTTGCCTCTTACTTGTATAGCCTGGGAGGAAATGAGTTTGATCTCATCACTTTTAGCAATGCAGCAAATCAATCAGGGGCTAATGTATTCATTTTGGTTCTCCCAGTCAAGTAAGCAATCCAGATGTCAGTGATCAGAAGCCAGAAACATCAAGCCTTGCTTCAAACCTTCCTATGTCAGAGGAAAGTAAGTACCATATTCTGTGCATGATTGAACAGCTCTTTATATAACCAGGTAATGCTATTCTTATAGAGTTGGTTTTTTGCAATTGCCTTGTTTATCCCAAAATATCCAGAAGGCTCTCCCATCCTTGTGTTTGTGTGTGTTTATCGTTGAGCCCCTGGTGAGCTTTATTGATAGACCAGCTGAGAAAAGATCACATGCAATCCACTCACCTGAGGAATCACACTCGGTAATTTTATTTCTGTTTTGAGATTGGATGTTCTAAAGGTAATAGTGTCTTACAGAAAATCAGAGACATTTATACTTAATCATATATACTTCCCATGTATATATTTTTTAAAGGTGTAACTTTTTTTTAAATGGTATATCTTGAGTTCTATATGGTATTTCCTCAAAGGTGATTCTATTTTGGTGGTTCTCAGACCTTTAGCCTATGTAAGAATCATCTGGAATACTTGTTTGTAATATAGAATTCTAGTTTCACCTCCAAAGATTATCATTTAGTAGATCTGATGTGGATAGGGAGTCTCCATTTTTGAAGTTAGCCAGGTGATTCTGGTCCATATGGGAAACTGTCCATATTGTGGAAAACCACTCTAATCAATAAAATGTCTCCTCTAATTTCTTTAATATCCCACTCATCCCCAAGAAAAAGACCTGTTCCTTAAAATATTATACTTTACATACATCAGAATGGAAGTAAGTTGAGTATTCTTGCTCCTTCCAAATAATTTCCTTTTTTCCTTCAAATACTTTGGTCAGTATTTGAAGTCACAGTGGCTCTTGTCTGTAATCTCAGCACTTTGGGAGACTGAGGCAGGAGGATCGCCTGAGACCAGAAGTTTGAGACCAGCCTAGGCAACAAAGTGAAACCTTGTCTCTACAAAAAATAAAATAAATAACTTAAAAAAACATTTTGGTTCATTTGAAGTCTACATCTATACCTTCCCTTACCTTCTTTCTTTTTTTTTTTTTTTTTTTTTTGAGACGGAGTTTCACTCATGTTACCCAGGCTGGAGTGCAATGGCGCGATCTCGGCTCACCGCAACCTCCGCCTCCTGGGTTCAGGCAATTCTCCTGCCTCAGCCTCCTGAGTAGCTGGGATTACAGGCACGCACCACCATGCCCAGCTAATTTTTTGTATTTTTAGTAGAGACGGGGTTTCACCATGTTGACCAGGATGGTCTCAATCTCTTGACCTCGTGATCCACCCGCCTCGGCCTCCCAAAGTGCTGG